CTTGAGTACAACCCATCACTGCCCCAGCTGTGGGGCAGCCGCAGCCGTGGCGATAAGCACACCCGCCTCGGCCCACCTGCTGCTCGCCCTCGGACACGCTGATGTCCACGCCGTTCCTGGCCAGGATGTCCACCAGGTCCGGGTCATTGGGCAGCACCACGGTGGCGCGGCGGCCGTCAATGGCAGTCAGCTGTGAGGATGTGAGGAGTGAGGCGGGATACACGGGGGTGGGTCTTGGGGTGCTGGACGCGGGCTGGGCGTGCGGGATGACAGTTTTGCAAGCAGGAGGCCGGCAGGTGTGCTGGTGTCCCCTGCATGACCATCGCTGCGAGTATGACTGGGCCTTGCTTCACCTGCCTGTCATGATCTCGATTTTGTGACAGACAAGATGAGATCAACAAAAGACATGCAGACGTCCAGCAGAATCAGCCCGCCCAGACAGTCCGCAAGGGCGCCGCTTGCAGATGTCACATGGCGACCGCGTCAGCAACATCAAACACCCGAGTGTTGCCACACGCCCAGCCAAGCGGCACCCTTTGACCGGCAACCAAACAAGCCATTCCGCACCTGCAGCATGCTGCCGTCCTTGCTGAAGCGCACGCGCTCCACCTTGCCACCCTGAACGGCGTTGATGAACTCAGAGTAGCGCCACTGGTTGCCCTCGGGCAGGCCGCTGGCGGCGTCATCGCGCAGGGCGGGTGCCTGCTGGCCGGCAGTACCGCTGCCAAACGTCAGGCTCTGCGGGCCGGACTGCTCCGCCACGACAGTAGTGGAGCCCTCCGGGGGCGCCACGAAGTCCGCAGCGCGCGCAGCGTCGGGCGTGGCTGCCATCAGCGCGGCACAGAGCCCGGCAAGCGCGGCTGCGGGCACCTTGGCAACCACCTCCTGGGCCAGGTCATGGCTCTGCCAAGGGGAAACGATCAAGGGGCTTATTGTGAATACTCAGGAGGGGCGAGCTTTCGCCTGCATGAGCAGCCCGTGATGACGTGGACCATGCAGCATCAACCACAAATGGCGCACGCGCCATGTGGAGGACCGGAGCACGGCAGTGCGAGCGCATTCACTCTGGTAAGGCACCAAATACCCATCCGACACGCCAACAGGCCGTGTGAGCCAGGATGGGGGCCTGACCGGCCCTCCAAGCTCCACTACCTCCCACTCAGCGATCCGGCCCCGGCATAGCCCGTGACGATCCTGAACTACCAGATTGCGTGCCACTCACGATCTTCTGTGCGTTGCACTTGGAGAAAGCCCCGGCCCGGCGAGGGACACCCAGGATGCTGGAACGCAGCTGCTCTGCACGGCGAGCGGCGCTCCTACGTGCAGCCCTGGAATCCAGGGCCACAGTTCCACGGCTGGAGGCCAGCGTCTGCATGGCTAGCGACGTGTGATCTTTCTGTCGGGACTCGAGTCCGCGGGATAGCGGACTGTGTTGCAAATGAAAATGTGGGACAAAACGACCCGACTCTAAGACAATGTGCTAGGGTACGGGGGCTGTCTCAGACACAGTCGGGTGCTGGGTTGGGCGCCGCAGTTGGCGCAGCGGGACCGGGACGCAGCTGCAACCTCACCTGCGCAGTCGCCGTCTGGCAAGCAATTGCATCACTGCTATTTCACCTTGCCTTCTCGCCAGTCACATCTCAGGATCACTGTGCCACAAACGTGTGAAATTGTGTCGAACTCGCACACAGCACGAATTGGCCGTTTGCTGTCCCGCCATTCAAATGCCGCACCGCAGCTGTACACCGTGTCCTGCCCCTCTGCGTTCCGAGCAGGTTTGCAATGGGCGCATTTGCAGGCCTCACGAATGTTGTCGCCATGTCATGCGGGCAATCTGGCGTTCGTGGTCAGAATTGGCTATGGGGTGAGGCCGCAACGCTGTTCCCTCCCGACGCGTCCTGTGGGCACACTGACGCGATGCAGCACAAACATTGCGTTTGCATGTGCGTGCAAACGCAACGGCTGTGTCCCCATGATGGTGCCGTGCATGCCTGTAGCCACATGGCTGTGCGGAACAATATCGACCGCCAGTACTGAGGCTCCCGACTCATCAGGGCCTGACGTGGATACTGAGCAGGAGCACTGCAATATTATGTTACATGCGGCAATCGTGGAACAGACCTCCTGCCAATGTGTTTTGCGGCGTGCCATTTCTTTGACTTGTTATTGACCGCAACAAGGGGTCTGGCCCGTGCACCATTAGAACCGTCAGCAACTCGTCAGCTCATACCATACTGCAAGCCGCCTGAGTAGAGCTGCAGCTGAATCCAACGCGCATCAACGCGCTTTTGAGCGGGAGCGTGTCTTACACGAGTCGAAGATCACCAGCCGAAACAGACAAAAAGCCAAGAAAGGTTTTTCATTAGCCCGTGGTATTTCGCTCCCTTCGCAACATCAGCCGCTCTTACCGTCTGACTTTTATTAGGAGTCACGGACAGGGGGGCACGCGGATCTCACTGCTTGCAGTGTTGTGCTAAGTTGGCCTGACGATGCAGGCCATGCATAGGCCAACTATGCAGGTCAAATCCTTTCACAGTCGCGGCGTCAGAGTGCCGTTGCAAAGGCGGGCAGCGGGCCGTGTCTTCTGCGCAGCGCAAGCAGATGCGGTGAGTGCCGGCAGCGCAAAATCATGCACGCATGCAGGAAACTGAGCTCGGCGATTTTCGAAAATAGTGCTACCAGTTGCACCTCTACAGGGCAGTTAATAGCAGGAATGGCTCAAGGCATTGTTTGCACTGGCTCCAGCCCGGTGTAGCCTAATCATCAGGGCCAGGATCAACCACAAGCAGCACCCTTCGAAGACCCTGCTGGGCGTGATTTCTCACTGGCACGCATTTTTTTTGATATTCACAATTTACTTCTGTTAAAATACAAACCAGTCGACAGCTAGGCATACAAATTGTGCTGCACCAACCCTCAGGGGCCCCCGCCAGGCTGCTCGCGCTACACAGTGGAGCTGCGGCGGCCGCTTGGGATTGTGCTGGAGCAGAAGAACAGTACTGGCGGCATCTTTGTGGTGGGTTGAGGAGGTTTGGTGTATTTCCAAGCTTTTAGATGGCACCTGTGCCAGGGAGTGGGCGTTGCACTGACGGCAGTGGGAACTCTGCGGCTGTATGGCTGCTTGGCTGGCTGCATTTGCTTTTTGCTGCTAGAAACCCCAATACCGTTGCCGCCTGTGGCAAATGATATTGGTGCTGTCATTGCGCAGGCATCCATCACGCCAGATGGCAATGCAGCCAGGACGGGGCTGATGTCAGTGGTGCGTGCGCATGGGTGTGAAGGGTTGAACGCGTGGATGGGTGGATGTTGTGGGGCTGGTTGAGCGCACGCGCATTAGTCGCGCCACCTCTGTTCGTTTTCTGCTGATGTCCTCTCAAGGCGCACCGCTCACATTCATTTTACAGGGCGACCAGCTCATATCAACCACTGGCGTCACGTACACCCGAACTGAGGACTGTGAGATGTTGCCTTCGTGCCTCAGTCCGATGTCCGCTGCCTGCAGTGCTTTTTGGCCCGATTGGCATACGGTGCGTGCTGATTGCACCCCACTTCTGCGCCGCTCCCAGCCCCTGCCCCCATTTTCACACACCCACGCACCACGCTCCATCATGCAGACGGCGGTGTTATGGTGCGCAAGGGGCAAGAGATTGTCAAGCTCAATTGCATCAATGAGTCGTTCAAGACGGTCAGTGCGGCCATTGGGACGCACCCGGCCAGCATCCCTGTGGTGATGACATTCCAGCGATGTGCGGACGAGCCTGTAACAACGTAACCGTCGCATCAATCTGCATCCGCACCACGCTGTCAGCCAACAGCAGGGCACACAACCTGGGCTGATGAGCTTGTCACGTGCTGATTGTGCGATGCCCCACAACTGAACCGTGCCCTACCTGCCTGCTGACAGCGGTCGGACACACCCACATTCACAGCTCAGCGGCTCGCTGTATTGCACTGAAAAGTATGGGTAGCGAGCCCAATCATTCTCTGGATGATGAGCATCATTTGGCATCCTGCAGCATATTGGAGCCTGCTGGCATTGCCACGGCCTACATTGCAAGGGTCGGCAATCTCCACAGCAAACATGCACGTTGCATTGGCCTGATGACCTGAAATGCGCAGAGACCTGTGGAGATGTTGGCTCGGAAGCAGTGTCCACAACACAAATCATTCGCACCACAATTGTATGGGACACGCCGCACACTTGTGGCAACAACCTCCTTCTCACAAACATCCCTGATACTGCTGGCATTCACACGGCGCTGCCCAGCACCGACAGGGTGAGGCCTTCCAAGGAGAGGGGAAGCAAAGGCGGCGGGCAGTCCTCTCCTGCGCAGCTTCCAAGACGCAGACAACCTTTTGGCACTGGTTCATGAAACATTTACGAGCCAGGACCCCTGAAACAGGATCAATGCATCATCTTTACGTACAACAACCGCGCCCCCTTGGCCTTTTGTAGGGCCCGCTGTCACGCACGCAAACCACGCAGGCCGCAACAACGTCGTAGATCCCACCAGCAGTGCCTCGCACAGCAACGTTGCTCGGTATCAGTTGTATTATACAGGTATGAGTGTGCGCACCCCAAGGCGGCTTCTAGTTAATCAGGGGGCCATCTCGTGGTCGACCGGACTCGCAGCTCAGCCGTCTGTCACCCCGCAGCAGACTTGATCTTCGCAACATGGATTCATCACTGCCCAACCACTTCCTGCGGGCCTCGCTACTGCAGGGAGGGGTCCTGCGCCGGACTTGACCCTTTGGCCACCACTGGCGTCGGCCGCTCTGGGCCCAGTGCCGCGTGCCTAAGAGTGCACGCATGCAGGTGGTGGACGGTCAGCCGGCGTACGCAACAGGTGGAGAGGCTCGCGCTGATGGCGGCGAACAGTATGAGAACGGGTGCAACGCAGCCAAACGCGTGCCGTCGTCGCCCTCGTCGGCGCAGCCGCCGCTCAAGCGACGGTCCAGCACGCGCATCCGCACTCTGGCTTTGACCGTGGAGCTGCCGACGCCCAGCGAGCTGCCGCTTACAGGCTGCCATCTGCCCTCAGGTGGCGAGCCAGGGTTTGGTGGGTGCTTGACGGCGGCCCCTGCAGCGCCGGCGGGTGGAGGCGGCCGCCAGCGCTTGTCTGTTGTGTCTGCCATCACCCCGTTTGGGCTGCCTCCTCTCAGCCCTGCGAGCTCCAGCAGGCAGCATTGTTTCATGTGGCACCAGCAGCACCAGTGGCAGCGAGAAGAGGAGCAGAAGCAGGGAGTGGCAGGCCGGCGCGGCCTCCGTGATATCACAGTCGACGTGGGCCCGTTTGCAGAGGGACGCTGTTGCGGCAGCGCCGGCGGCGTTGGTTGGCAAGGCAGCTGTGCAGGCCCTGCACCCCAGCCACTTGTTGCGGTGACGCCAGGCCGCCTCCTCCAGCAGTCTTGCACTGACCTTGGCACCTCGGGGCCGCCGGAGGAGAGCCCTGGTTACCACTTCAAAGTAGAACGGCCCTCGCTGACAGGCGGCATGGACGGCGGCAGCGCAAGCAGCGGCCTTTTCGGTGCAACGCCAGAGCGCAGGGCTCACTCCAGCCCCGGCGTTGGCGTGGCCTTGCCCTCGCCCTGGGACGTGACAATGGCATCGCCGCGCGGCTCATTCGACGCCGGCCCAATCGCCGCCACGGCGCCCGCCCGCAATCTGTTGCGGTCACTGGCTTGGGATGCCTCGCATCTGGCAAGCTGTGCGATCACCATGGCGCACCCGCTACGCATTTGGGCGCGAGGCGAGAGCCACGGGCCAAATGGCAGCTCGCCGACCCTGCCATTAGTCGAGGCGCGATCGTGGGTACCGGTCAGTACAGGGCCGGGCTCAGTAGCCGGCAGCGAGCCCGGCTGGCTGGACGGCCTGCCCTCAAATCACCACGTGCCAAGGACCCGACAGTGTGCGGTCGAGCTGCACCAGGCGGCCCCGTTGACAGAGATGCAGCAGCAGGATGATTTGCAATGGGGTGCAGATGGAGACTCAGCGCCGCGCAGGCAGCAGCAGCTCGGGTGCGCCGCAGCGCGCGCCAGTCGGCAGGGCCACGGCAGGCGCCGGCATGGAGTGTCGCCCTCAATTGTTAGGGAGCTGGCCCAGCGCCGCAAGGCGGGAGAGGGGCCGGTTATGATCAACAGCATGCAGCAGGTCTGGGACGCCCGCACCAGCAGATAAGAGAGGTTGGCTTATCAAATGCCAGTTCATCACATGCATGTACCATTCACATTCACAACAGGCCGGTGATGTGCTTTGCTGTTCGAGGGCACCAGCAGTTGTTTTGCTATTTGAGCAGTGCTCTAATTGGGCCTGTACATTCACAAAAGCATTTGTTTATAATTGAGAGTTGTCCATGCAACGCAGGAGCAACCGTGCTGTGCTGTGGTAACATCCTGACCACTTCACATTTCAACAGCTTTTTTACAAGGCGTCAAAAATGGGCCACATGGCACGCGCTCCCTGGTCAAAGTGCTCTCCGGCTATGGACGTGCCCACACACAGCTGTGAGGACAACTTACATGACCAGCTGCTGCGAGCGCACCAGCGCACGCTGCACTGCTAGGGGGTTGACCATGAAGAGCAGCTGCACACCCCCTACCTCCAGCAGGCTCAGGTGCGGCAGTCGCGCCGACTGCCCCCGCTCCAGCTGTGGGGGGAAGCGAAAAGAGCGGCGTGAATCAATTCGGCTGTACAGTACTGCTGCTATTTGAATAATGCAGGTCAGCCCTCAACAGCGCCACAGCAGGCAGTTAACGGAACGCACAGAAGTTTCCAACACCTGCTCACACAGATGCGTGAATGTGCGCGCACGCACACCAATGCGGGCAGCCCAATCAACTTCCACGCGACCCACCGGTGCGCCGTTGACCGACAAACTGCGCCGTCCCACGTTCTGCAGCACCCACACGCCGTCCCGCCCCAGCGTCAGCTGCGCCTGCAGCCGCGACACCTTGCACGCCGGGCGCTCTTTCGCGAGGTCCACGTCCACGTCGCCCTTGCTGTCGGTGGAGCGCCCGAGGCTCACCGCGGTGCGGCGCAGCAGGTACCGCCCGTCGCGGCTGCACATGCATGCGAGCGCGCCTGTGTGAAGGTTTGCAAACAAGATGGTTGGCAGGTGGCTGGGTGGGTGAGATGGCGCTACTGACCCCCTGGCCCTGCATTCTGGTAGCATTTGCGCCCTCTGGAGCGCTTGCGTCAAACATCGACAATGCACAGCAGCTTCATTGTAAACCGACAGCAGCAATTTCACCCCAAACAACAGCTTTATCGTGCACAGAAGCCCCATCACCAAGCTCTGCGCTTACCTTGAGAGTCCATCAGAAGCGCCGTGGAGGCCGACGCGATGCGCTCTAGTGCCGCGATGTCCCCGGCATTGCTGCGGAAGCGCTCCCGCCGCACCCGCACCTGCTCGCCACCGGCTGCACCACTGGCTGCGCTACCGCCCGCGCCACCGCCCGCGCCACCGCCCGCGCCACCGCCCGTGCCACTGCCTGCACCCCCCGCTGTGTCCTCGGCTGCGTCCTCAGCGCCGCTTCGGCTTGCAGCTGCTGTCTCTCGCCGCTGCGCTGACCATGCTGCCGCTGCACGGCCAGCCTCGCCTACACCTAGCACCGCGTCCTCGGCATCTGAGAAGGAGGGAGGCTCGGCATCGCTGCCATGGCCGCAAACATCGTCGCCGTACCGCCGGCTTGCGGTCAGCTGCTGGTCAGGTGGCTGCTGCTGCTGCTGCTGCTGCTGCTGTGTGCTCGGTTGGAGGTTTTTGGCCCGCCCCTGCTTGCCCTGCTGCTCCTGGGTAGCCCCTTGCGCAGGGCCTGCACAGCAGTAAGAGCATGAAGCGACAAAACCATTGGCAGCCAATAGAAGGGGCTCCCCGGGCAAGAGCCGGCATATGAAATAAGGCAGAGATTGTCCAAACTTCACCTGGCATGCCCTCATACAAATAACGCGAATAAGCATGACCCCCCCCCCTCCGGCAAGCTGCAAAGCCCGGGGCGCCTCACCTGGCTGCTGCACCTCATCGACCTCCATCGCCTCTGCTACATCTATTATCTTGTCCTTCTGCACATCTGCCTGCTCTGCATGCTGCTGCCCGCGGCGAGGCTGCACCAGATTGAGTGCATGCAGCAACTCGCGAAACGTCGCTGCTGTCAGACCCGGCGCTGCGGGCGCCGCGGCTGCCAGCTCAGGCGCGCCGGAGGCCTCTGTCAGTGCGCTCCTGCCTGCTCCCTTGAAATCGGCATGCAGTGTCTGCAGCTCCTCCAAACAAGCCCAGTGCTCAACCTGCAGAGAGCGGCACACGCTGGCGATTGGCCTCAGGATGGCACAGCGGCAGGGCGCAGCAACACACCTGCATCGACGTGTGTGCATCAGTGCCAACGCCACCGCTGGCATGGAGAAGCACCTTGTAAGCCGCGTACAGCTGCTCAAGAGCTTCAATCACGGCGCCAGAGCGCAAAGGACCGTCCACGGGAGGCACATCCAGCAGCTGGGTCTCGGCCCCGGCCGCAACAACGGCGGACATGGGGGTGGTTGCGTGACAGGCGGTACAACGGCGTTCCTAAGGCCGTGGACACGATGTTTTGCTTGCGGGGCCTGGCAAGCAGGCAACAATGGTGATCTCTTGCAGCGATTCCTACTTTCTTGATGGTAAAGACGGTATGCAGACGTTCAATACAACAACACACCTATGAGTATGCGAGCATTGACGAGCACTTGGTCACCCAAGGGTGGCCGTAGAGGGCTCGGTTGTCACCAGGTCACAGGAGAACACCGCACATAAGAGGATTGTGCACGGCAGCAAGCAGCGGTATGCATGGAGTGTGTAAGGTATCCCTGCCCGCACCCGGACCGCCGACACCCCTCTATGCAATGAATTGTATTAGTGCTCAAGCGCCCACGCGCAGCTCCCTGCATGTGCAGGTGACCAACGCATGGACTGTGCTGGTCTGCTGGATGGTGGTAACAGCTCAGCCGGGCTGTGACGTTCCAGTACTTCTCTACTTCACCCTTCAAATCCTGCCAGCGTCGTAGCTTTACTTGAATTTACAAACCTTTGTTGCTGTACAACCCCCTCTCAATTACTTGACCGTGATGCCCCGACCCAATGTGGCAAATCAATGTGGGAAGATGTTTACTTGGCATAACCCGCCGAAGCCACCCTGCCACGATTGCTCCGAAAACAGCAGCCCATGCACGCAAATGGCCAGCAGCCATTAGGTGGGGGCTTTCCACCTATTGGTGGCTCCTGTGACGTACTCAACGGCCCGCCGCCCATTCCTGGTTCCCCTGTTGGGAGGGGCACCCCGGCGAGATCTGCCGCCACCCGCGTGACCAGAGACATAACTTCCCCTGTGTCGTTGGCCGTCACTATAAAACTGTGCACAAGGGAAATGTGGGGCAAGGGCGTACGTATGAGGGCCTCGCTGCAAGTTGCTGTTAGCATGTTGGTGTTGAGTACTCGCATTGCGGCCAAACACAGTTTGCCACTGCGCACCTGTACATGTCACGTGCAGCCGCAAATGCTATATGCTGTGTCTTATTGCCACTAAGCTGTCTCGTACACCGTTGACTGGCTGCAGCAGCAGCAGGAGCAGGTGCTGCTGCTGTTGCTGCTGTTGCTGCTGCTGCTGCTGCTGCTGCTGCTGCTGCTGCTGCTGCTGCTGCTGCTGCTGCTGCTGCTGCTGCTGCTGCTGCTGCTGCTGCTGCTGCTGCTGCTCCTCCCGTTGTCGCTGCCGATGTTGCTCGTGCTGCCACAGCGGCGACCAAGCACGCCGCATCGTGCTCCTCCGGCGCTGCTTCCCCTGTGTGACCACCAGTCAACAAAGAGCTGCTGCTGCCGCTGGCGTGCATCACGTCACTGCCCTGGCTGTTGCATCTGTCACCGCTTATGTCGTCTGGCAGGGGCGGCCCAGGGCATAACAGGTCTGACTTTGTGCCGACCAGGGCCAGGTAAGGCAATGGGTTGTCTCCATAAAGCAGTTGTAAGGCCTGCAGCCACTCCCCCACCAGAGCCAGAGTCTGTGATTGAGACGGTGGTGGAGGGCCAAGTGCCTGAAAAGATAGGTGCATGCAGTGCCTGTGGCACCGGTGGTGTAAAGGTCGCATCTGCCGCACTGCGTGCACAACGCACCGACAACACCTTGGTCCTGTGACAACCAGCAGTGTGCCTCACACTGTCGACGAACGTGCCCGTTGAACGTGCCCGCCCCTTGACGCACCCCGCCACCTGCTGCCGCGTCAAGTCGTGGACCATCAGGACGGCGTCGCAGCCATGGATGTAGGCGGCCGCCACCTGGAGGCTGCCCACGCCGCTGCCCACATCCCACAGCTGCAGTGCGGCGCCGCGTGGCTCGCCCGGGAGCGTCACACGAGCGCCATAAAAGTCTACACCAACGGTCCGCCGGTACCTGCAAAGAAGTAGGCAAACGCATGTTTTCGGTCTGCACAACGCATCGCGCGCCAGGCATGATATAAATGGGAATGCTCCAAGCGCCAGGAGCGCATCAATTGCGCACGTTTGACTCGCTGCGCAACCCGCTGCAGCTGAGGAGATGGCTGTCTTGCCGACTGCGTCCGCTCCCAGCAGCACAATCTTGAACTGTAAAGGCTGCTGGTCCTCCTCCTCGTCGTCCCCGCTGCTGGCGCCCTGCATGCGAAGATCCTGAAGGGTGCATGCGAAGATCAAATACCTGTAAATGTTGACGTCACGATGTTATTCATCATAACTATCAATCAACATACGGTCTTATGATGTAACGCGAGCAGCCTGGTCATACCGTACAATTTCGCAGACTGTTGCACTGCACAACACCGGAGGGTGATTGTCTTTCTTGTCGACTGCCCCTGATGATACACATTTTTTTCTGCCACATGACTGCCGTGAAATCTTGCCTGCCAGCTTGGGCTGACTGCCAGCTTGGGCTGAATGCCAGCTTGGGCGGACTCCCAACTTGGGCTGACTGCCGGCTGGACTGCCAGCGTGCCGGGGCCGGGCAAGGCGAAGCACCAAGGACAACCCTGCATGGGCTTGTTGCCTGGGACTTTGAGCTCCTTCAGCCCCCCGCTCCTGTGCGAATATAGCGACTGTGACCGAAGCCAAACCATTTGCTGAAATGTCCCTGATGCTGTGATGGTGCCTGGTGCCTGGCTTGCACAGAACACCGCAGGAGCTGGTATGGTGTGCCTGTCTCCGGTCATGCCAAGTAAGCAGAGTCGTGTCCCCCTCCTCCAACAAGGCAAAGCCCACGTTCACTTGCGCTGCGAATAGAAATCACATTCAAGCCCACTGCTGCGCGTGACAAGTGGTTTACAACTGCAGCCTAAACGTTTGAAAGTGTGAGTGTCTGTGTCCCGTTCCAGGTCTTGCCAGGCTGCAGCGTTACTGCGCCGCTGCCCGCCACCGCAGGCTCTATGCAAAGCATCACCTGCAGGCGAGGCAGTGGAGGTCGCAGTGAGCGGTGACCTTGGCGGACTGTTGTCGGTAGCTGGAAAGGATGTAGACCTTGGTCCTTAGTAGCAGGGCTGTGCACCAGCCACAATGGAGGCAAGAGAGAAGCCCGGCAGCCCCACAAACCCACCTGGTACTCATCGTCGCCAAAGTCCCCCATGGCTTTTGATTTCTCGACCCAAGGGTTCCACACCACAGCGTCAGGGAAGCCCTCCTTCACAATCTCAACGCAGCTGCCCGCGCCATCGTCGAAGATCTGATCGCGGCGTGTCAGCGTAGAGGCATGCATGGCGGCGCCTGGTTTCAAGGTGAGCCTTTGTAGGATGCTGGCAGCGTGCCCGCGTCAAGTATGCCGCCCCAGTTGCTCATTATCAGGCCCGAGGGGCCTGGAACGCCCCATAGCCACGCACAATCCGGCCTCAACCCTCAGGTGCCCGCCACGATCGCCACCCCCCCCCCCCCCCCCCCCCCCCC